AAGTTTGTACATGTACCTAGCACATCTCAATTTTTTTGTACTCTTCTGCTCTTTCCATCCTATTCTTGCCCTGTTGGTCCCTTCCAGTTTGCAAAAGATCACTCTATTTTTTATGATCTATCTTGTATTTTGTTCTTTCTTTGTGTTTGTTTTTAGTAGCAGGAATCGAATTCGGGATCTTGAGCTTGCCAGGTAGGTTCTTATGCTGCTGAGCTATATTTCTGGTCCTATTTTTTTTATAGAAGAAAAATAATGAGATATTTAGGTTTGTGTATCTGGTGTACATTACTTAATATTATGTTCTGAAGATTCATCCATTTTCCTACATCCATTCATTTCTCAAATTTTTCTTTCTTTAGGTCAGGAAAAGCCATTGTATATAAATACCAAATTTTTATTCATACATCTTTTGATGGACAAATATATTGCTTCCATGATTTAGCTGTTGTGAATTGTGCTACTATAAAAATGAATATAAATATATCACTATGATATGATGTCTTTAACACTTTTGGGAAGATACCTAGAAAGAGGAATAGCTACGTCAAATAGAATTGCCAGTTTATTTTTTGAGGAATCTCCATCCTGATTTCCACATTGCTTGTACCAGTTTACATCCCCACAAACAATGAAGAAAGGTTCCTTTTTTACCTGCAGCCTTCTCAGCATTTGTTATTGTTTAGTTTTTTCATGATAGCTATGTTTTCTGGAGTAACGTGGATTTTCCATGTTGTTTCAATTGGCATTTCTTTATTGGCTAGTAATGTTGAACATTTTTTTCATTTACTTATTGGCTATCTGTATTTCTTCATCTGAGAACTGTTCATTTTAGTTGGCCATTTTTATTGAGTTTTTTACTTGGGGAATGGTATTTTTTGTTCTTTATGTCTTCTAGATATTATTGCTTTGTGTTAGGCATAGCTAAAAATATTTATGCAATTCTGTAGGTTATCTCTTCACTCTGTTGGTTATTTACTTTATTGTGAAGAAGATTTTAATTTTATATGATCCAATTTGTTGATTCTTGGTATTGTCTTCTGCACTTGATGTTTTGATCAGAAACATCTTGTCTATGCCTATGTCTTCAAGAATTTTTACCTATTTTACCTTTCATTTTCTGTTTTTA